CGTACCCACAAAATGATCCAGGTGTTGACGACATGTTACGCACCTCCTGCCGTACACACACACGTGCAAATGAAATCACATGAAGGCATCCTTCTCACTTTATCACATGGTAATTCCACAAACACTCATGTGTAATTTCTTTGAGTGTCCTTTTAAAAAATGAATAAATTCTTGTAATCTAGAATAATTATCAGCTCAAATTATAATGACTCCACCTAAGAACATCAAATCGTGAGGTTTACCCTGTATCATGGTGTTCATACAATGAGATTTACAAGAGTTATTTTGTAAGGAAAGGGGATATACCATTATGAATTCCTAACTGCAAATGTTGTTTATATACAGTTGTCCCAGAATATGAAAATTGTTATACATCCCAGTATCTGGTTATCCCCCAAAACAAAAACCTTAGAGTAAGGCTAATGTCAGCTACAGGCATTTTATGCATACAAAAATGATTATTTCATTGTCATATCTCAAATACAAATGTTGATAGAATACAAAGTGAATATGCAAAAATAATATATAATATCATCTTCATACCTAATAATACAATAAAATGTGTATTTAGATGTATTCAAAAATTAGATATTTATAGTAAAAAACACAATGCAGGAGGGTGTGTGTGTGTGTGTGTGTGTGTGTGTGGTGTGTGTGTGTGTGTGTGTGTGTGTGTGTGTGTGTGTGTGTGTGTGTGTGTGTGTGTGAGAGCACGCATATGTACTTGCCTGCCTGCCTAAGCATGCATGTATATTTGCATATATATTTATGTATAATATTTCTATAGACAAAAAAACAATATTTCAATGTTCTTTTGTAAAGATATAACTCACAGTGCAATTCTCAGGTGCTGAAGTTGTGACAGAAGGGGTGGACTGTGATGGTGTTTCCAGGAGACGTGAAATTCTTGCTACTCCCTGCCACCAACAAATCTTTCTCATCCTTTGAGGAGAATCAGAGGACCGATCTGTAGAAAAAAATATTCAATAGGGTGAATTCATCAAGACAAGGAAAAATAAGAAGACAAAGAAAAGTATGTATGAATAAATATGAAATTTATATGTACACAGTAGATAGTAGAGTACAGTAAAGGGTAGTGAAGGGCGGCTGAGTTAGTGGAAAGGATCAAGGTAACATGAAGATGGAAGAGAGTTTGCAATCTGAGCCCCAGGATATAGGGGACAGAGTTTGCATGATTTGGAGGCGGCGGCAAGCTGTTTTCTTTAATGTAAAGATATGGCCAGGACAACACCAAGGAATTTGCCAGAGGAACAGTATTGGAGTGGAACACCATATAAGAGTGGAGTTGGAGACCTACACGTGCGTGAGATAAAAGGAGGAGAAAGATTGGAGGTAGAAAATGAAAGCCATGGTTAGTAGCCCAGACACCGTCATTAACCCATTCACGACGGGTAAAAATGAACAAAAAAATGGGGGGAAAATGCTGTGCTTATTTTTCATACTTTTTGTGAAATGTCTCTACACATAGATGGCTCTGCCTTACCTGATTTCATTTGGCGGGAAACTGTATTTTTTAGCAGTGCTATGAATATTGATGGTTATTTTTATTATAAACATTATAATTACTATAATGTTATAAACATTAGTAAAAACAAAATAAGATAACATAAAATATTTTTGTAAATTAACCCCTTGGTGCCGGGTGACGCCAATCGGCGTGTACACAAAGAGCTCGAAAGCTGGCGTGCAGCCGAACGAGCCGGCGGCGTGCCAAAGCGCGGCGAGCCAGTGATTCGGGCTGATGTCCCCTACTCACGCGCTCAAAGTCGCTGCCTTTGTTTGTTTAAGTGTAGAATTTTTTTTTTTTCTTTTGTACACCCGGCGCCATTGGGTTAAAGAAAAGGGTATACAGATGAGACAGGCAGCACTCACAACAAGTGTACCCATCTATGTGTTAAAACAATTAAACAAGTAAATTCACAGTGGGCATGTCACATATACGTGACACCCAGTCCAAATGGGTTAATGGCAAGAAGGAATAAAGTGGTGTGAGCACACTGCCTTGTGGGATGCCTTCAATCTGAGGAAAGGATGATGTGGAAGAGGAAATTTTGACCAGGAAAGTGCATTTGGAGAGGAGACTCTGTAAAGACACCCGTTTCTACATAAGCCTTGGGAGGACAATTATTGAAGAATATGGTACTGCCATGTAGTATCATATGCTCTTTCTAGGTCAAAGAATATAGCTAATATGGATTCATAGCATGCAAATGTAGATGTAATATATGTCTTGAAATGAGCAAAGGGTTCTGCTGGACTTCTGGCAGAAAACAAACAGGGAAGGAGAGAGATTGTGAGATTCGTGATACCACATTAAGCGGAAGTTAACCATTCATTCTAGTAGTTTGCACAAACAGTTAGTTAGTGATGGGGTGGTAATCTTGAGAGAGGTTCCCGATTTATTGGGTTTCAAGAAGGGGAGGATAAGAGCTTTTTGCTAATGAGAAGGAAAATTTCTTGACATCCATATATGGTTGAA